GCCGCGCTGCTGCTGCTGGCGGCGCCCGGGCTCGGCGCGCAGGGCCCCACGCGCGCCTTCAGCGAGGACGTGCTCAGCACCTTCGGAACCAACCTCAGTCTCTCCGCCGCGCAGCTGGGGCTGCTGTTCGGGGAGCTGGGCGCGGGCCACGGCGGCCACGCGGGAGCCACCGGACCCGGCGCGCTGCACTTCAACCAGGTACGCGGGCGCGCGGGCGGCGAGGACCCGGCGCGTGCACGGTCACACGAGCGTACGCGGCCGGGACTTGCGCGTGCACAGCTCCGCCAGGCGTTCGCCCGCGGCGACGTCTGCTCTTGCAGGGTTCCCCACGCACGTGCACGCCCGGAACCGTGAGCGCGCGGCCTAGACTCTTGCGCGTGCACAGTGGCATCCAGGAGGAAAAGTGAGGGACGGGAATCCCCGCTGGATCCGGCTGGTGACCCAGGGCGGATCTGGCAGCCAAAGCTGCAGCTTTTCTTGTAATGAGCCCGTGGTTGTAAGATGTTACAGCAGGGACTGAAGTAGTGAGGGCCGGACGCTGTCCCAGGAGATGCTTTTGGGAGATGCCTTTGGCATGCTTACGCAGAGACAGCAGGAAAGTGCACGCCGGTGCCTCCTGCGTTGTCACTGCTGGCGGTGGCGGTGTGACCCCAGCCTTCCACAATCATCGGAGCTCCTGTGTGCAATTCTTGAGGCAGTTAGGGTTGAAGGGCCTATGAGACAGATCGAGGACACCTGGAGACCAAGCTCCGGGGTCACGTGGTGGCCGACTGGGCTCAGAGCGTTTCTTATCTGTCAGGTCCAGTGTTTGACCCTAAAACTCATTAAAAGTAGAAACTACATCTGGCAGTGCACCCACAGTGCCTCGAGTCATCCGGTTCCTTGGGTTACAGGACTCCTGGGGCACCCGGGGGTAGTTCAGAGACCACCTGTTGGTTGCAGACCGCTTGCCTAGTGCACAGGTGCAGGGGGCCCTGGTTGCCTCCCAGATCTCCAGAGGGCGGGAGGCTCCACTAAATTAAGCCCTTGGTTTCCCCCCTAGTCCTGCTCCTGATGTCAAAGAACAGAGTACATGTTTCTACACCATTTGTTACTTTTGGGTTGTCCATTAGCAAAGGATTTTGTTTTTTTTGGTGGTTTAAGACTTTTTGGAAACGGCAAACTGCAGGTGTTTTCCAGTGACTCTGAGCTCAGATTTCAGGCAGGGAATCGTTAATCAGACGCAGTCCTGGAGAATACCATTATGAGGAGGTTGCTGTTCTTTTTGTTATCAATACCAGTTAAGGTAGAGCAGTCAACAACTTGAACTTTACATGTCTTGGGCTCTTTGACTTAGAATGTTTCTGTGGCCCCAGGATGCATGTATTTTACTTAACTGTCTCTGTCTCAGATCTGGCATGTTATTATTATATCTGGTTTAATGTCTGCAGAATGATATGTTGGAAAGGCTGATATGCCCGTATATTATACTGATCTTTTAGAAAATAATGCAAATAACTTCCTAGGTATTTTCCTCACAAGTTGTGTTGCCCTTGGTGAAAGGCGCTGACCAGTGCTCTCAGCAGGGGGTATTATAAGCTTGGGAGGAGGCTGGGACTGGACTTCAGCTGCCTATCTGTCCCCCCACACACTGTTTGACTTAAGGGATATCCTTATCTTGCAGTGTGTGCAGGTGAATTGTAAAGGGGCCAAAGATCCCCCAAGCCACCCTTACAGAGAGACTGGAAAGTGTGCCTACATTGTTTAGAAAAATTGGCTGAGTTTCCTAGCAATGTGATTCTTGGTTTTTTATCAGGGATTTGTCTCACAGATAAATCATATACGTGTTGACACCTTGCTTTTCATCCTCGTGTTGAATGTTTAATTACCCTCATTGTGGCCTCTGTGGCCATCAAAGAGACAGGAAGAAGTCAGCAAACAAAAGGAAAGGTTACTACTTAATCAGACCCAGCAAGCATCTATCTGAAGTTCTAAGCAGTTCCAGCAAAAACAACAAGCACTGGTTAAATGATGACACATTAAGTGCGATCCAGAACCATCCCTTAATTTGCTGGTGATTGCTGGGCTTGAGCCAAGGCATTCTCCACACTCCAGCCTGAAGCCTGCAATGTGAAGCAAGTGGTACAGTTTTTAAGGTCTTCATACTCGAGAGAACACAATGCTGGGGCCTCACCTGGCACAGAGGGAACTGAACGGTGTGTGATGTGTGATGAAAAAGGCAGGGAAAATAGCATTCGCTCCTCTGGGTCAGGAATTCACTGAATCTTCTATAAGAGCTATCTCCAAGCTGTTCTTTCGGATGGGGGCTGTGGTGTTTAGGAGGCCGTCTTCTTTCAGGTAGTAGACTACTGAACACCAGGGGGTTGTTAGATTATTTTGAAAAAAGTTCTAATATTTTTTCACTACCCCTAAGTACTGACTATCAAACTGAGACAATAAAACACTTCCGGTCATTTCTGTGCATCTGATGGCTACTGCAGAGACACAGTAGACAGAACAGGCAAGAGTGGAGTGGAGGGAGGAGTCCTTCAGTCAAGGGGCCGTGGGGCCTATGACCTGCGCAGGTCTGCTCTGCTGGGGTGAGGGGTTGCCAGGATGCACCAAGCATCCCCAGTGCAGGTGTCGTGGATGGTTAATGGGGGGGCCGAAGATGTTTGTGCAGGTGCCCCTTTCTCATTCCTTTTTCATTTCCTTTTCCTTCATTTTCTCCTGTGCAAATGTGTGCAAATGTGTGCACCTGTGCACAAGTGTGAACACCTGTTAGACAGCCTGTGTGCCTGCTGATGGCCCCTCCATCTCCCTCCAAATCCTCAGGCTCCAAGGAGGCTCAGGTGAGCTAGGAGGTGGTTAAAAAGCGAGACCACCCTCATCCCACACCACAGACCTTGCCAGCACTTCACAGGGTTGCTGGCTGTCGTGTCCTGCAGCACAGTTTTCCTTCACTGTCTTGCTCTCACCCCTTGCCTGGACCCCATTGTTAATCTCTTTGGATTCGTATTCTGTCATTGTGAAGTGCAGCAAACACTCTCCTTTCACAAGCCCTCTCCTAACTGTTCTCCAGCCACTGGGAAGCTGAGCCCTGACGCAGTGTGGACATGGCCCCTCCCTGTCTTGGTCCGAAGTTCTTTGTGCTCTTGATAAAGACGGCAGTCAAGACACACAGAGTGCAGAAGTATAGGTAGCATTCACTGGAAAGTAGATGCAGAGAGAGTTACGCCTTCGAGCGAGAAGGTGGGTAGCGCCATGAAGGCGACTGCCCAGGGCAGTGTGGATGCCTTTTATGCACACAGAACTTGCTGTACACTGGTGATTATGTGCCTGCTGCCACTCTTCATAGGGTTTCCTGGGGATGTTGGTATCTCAAACTTTCTTCCTCGCTCCTGTCTGGTGGTCTTAATCCTGTCCATGAATTTCAGTCATGCTTCCACCCAAGGAAGGAGGGTCTTTAAAGAATGCTGCCTTTCCTGACATTGAAGGGCAGGGTGTCGGCCGTGAGCCTGTGGTCAGGTATTCAGGGGAATGCACACAGAGGGTGACCTTCTGATGTTCCCATACTCTGAGTGTCATTTTAGGTCTGAGACCTAACCAACTGTTGTGTGTTACACACTGAAGCCCTTGATTCTTTACTTACTATAACTGGCGAAGTGTGCTACTTGGGAGCCCTCCTCCATGCCTGCTAATGTCTAACTCTGCCTAGCATGATTACTGGTTCTGTCTGTGTGCTAGTTGCTTTTGCAGAGCTGGCGATGGAATCCAGGGCCTCCCACCTGCTAGGACTGTGCTCATGCCTGAGCTGCAGCCCAGTCTGAGGTCTCATGCTCCAGCCCTGCTTCGGGGCCCTGCCCCTTGCCCGCCCGCCCACTAAATGAAACCATTCATGCTCTGTGGTGTCCCTGATGCTTGCCCAACCAGTCCTTAGTTTATAACCCTCCGTGTGCTTTTCCTGCCCAACTACAATGGTTTTCCTTTCCTTGAATGCTCCAATCAAAGTCTATATTTAAAAAGAGCCCGGAGAAGCTGGGTGTGGTGGTACAGGCCTGTAATTCCAACACTTGGGAGGCTGAGGCTGGAGGATCATTGAGAGTTCCAGACCAGCCTGGGCTACAAAGTGAGTGCAAGGCCAAGCTGAACTGCATAGCAAGACCCTGTCTCAAAAAGACAAAAACAATAGAGCCCAGGGAAGCTCTGCCATGGCACCTTAGTAGGGCATAACAACCAGCCCTGATTTATGGATTTATGGGTTTCCTGAATTCCTGAAAAATTGTTTATGCTGATGTCAACTAACCATTCATATGTCGAGCAGAATTTAGGACTGACTACTGCACTCTAATTAGATTGGTCCCTTAAGGTACACATCTGACTGTGTCCCTCATCTCGTGAAAGCTATTCAGTCCCTCAGTCTACACCTGTGAGTGCTTAGCCGTGTAAACGTTGCTTCTTCAGAGATGTCTTTCTGGTGTGCATAAGACTTGGAGTCCCTTTCCTATGATCTTTTGTTGTCTGTGTAACCCTAAGGAATGTGCTGCAGTTGTATTTCAATGTGATGTGTGCAACGTTACGTATGCTGCAATTTCTGTGTACATAGCCAGACTCCCTGCTGCCTCCTTTCCTCTGCGTAGGTTTTGCTTTTTTTTTTTTTAGTCTTTTCAGTGCTGGGGATGAACCCAGGCCCTTGCATGTATAGGGCAGTGCTGTACCCATGAACAGTACCCATCTCCCCCGTGGAGTTTAAACAAACGGAAGGGAACCTCCTGACTCATCTTTCTAGGGGCTGGTGTAACATCTGGGTCATAGTATGAATTCATTAGAAATTTTGGGAATAAAAGGTAAGTAGTTTGAGTTCTCACATGGCTGCAGTTTAGTGGAGGAGATGCACATATGCACATATATCTATACTTCATGACAGAATGCCAGGTCCGATGAAAGCATTATAAGTGGAAGTTGAAGGGTGAGTCCAGTGTGTATTTTCAAAGGCTCGAGCTGAGTGGGAGTGTGTCCTGTTCTGGTGGGGGGCAGCAGAGCCTCTGGGTCAGCGGCAGGAGGAGCAGCTAATTCCACCTGGGGACGAGGAGGGCCAGAGCAGCTCAGCAGCCAGCCCTCATGGGAGAGCAGGCGTGGGCATCGAGGAGAAGGTGGGCAGATAACCAGGGGCTGTTACTTATTTGTTAGTGGTGGTGCTGGGACTGGAACCTAGTGCC